TTAAAACAAATAAATGGCAGCAACTTTGGAAGAAAATTGTCTGAAAAATGGGCTGAAAGGGGGGGGGAATGATGGCGGTTCTTGAAAGAGAACAAACCACAGACAGTCTTAACATGGCACAACACAGCGACTAGAATCCATGCATCATTTCTACCAATAAAAGAGGTTTCTACTAGTTGAGGGGATTTTCCTGCCACTGTAGCCCAGATACCGCCCCCCCCCCCGAGACAGGGGGGGATCCCCCGACCAGGAACAGCACCAGGGGGAGTCAAAGGGTGGCCAAAACTGCCTCCCTTTCTGTTAGCAGAAAATTCATATGTGATCCATCCAACCCATTTGTGTTATGACAGCTGATGCGCGAATGAATAATAGTTTTCCTAAGATAGAAGGCTTCTAGGAGAAAATGCCCACTCACATTGTTGCTTTCTGTGTGCCTCTCGCAACTGATGCTTATATCATTCTGAGGACTCGCTCAGAGATTAAATTTATCCCTCTGTATTGCAAGTAAATATTGAGCGCACTCAAGATATGACCGTGGCAACTGTGTTTGTTGACGTTTGTGCCTTCCTTATAGATAAATTTGGGTATCCGATTTTAACATCAGAAAGATGGGCTTAATGAAAGGCAAGTCTGGTGGGTCTAATTTGGCTCTTGTAATATCTTGGGGGAAATTAGAAGGGAAAGTAAACCACTGAACAGTTCTGTTAAAGTGTCCAGTGAATCCTCCACATAATATTTTTGGCTTGGATGCTAAGTAGTTAGATGAAGTTACACATGAAGCCGCCTTGTACCAAACCAGACCATTGGCCTATCGAGAAGAGGAGGAGATTGGATTTATACCCGGCCCTTCACTACCCAAAGGAGTCTCAGAGCGGCTTACAATCCCCTTTCCCTCCCCCTCCCCACAATAGACACCCTGTGTGGTAGGTGGGGCTGAGAGCTCTTTTTAGAACTGCTCATGAGAAAACAGCTCTGAAAGAACTTGTGACTGACCCAAGGCCACACCAGCAGCTGCATGTGGAGGAGTGGGGAATCAAACCCAGTTCTCCCAGGTTAGAGTCCATGCTCTTAACCACTACACCAAACTGGATCGTCTATTCAAACAGGATCATCTATTCAGACTGATGGTGGCTCTCCAGAGTCTCAGGCAAAGGTCTTTCACATCACCTACTGCTTGCTCCTTTTAACTGGAGATGCCAGGGATTGAACCTGGGACCTTTTTCATGCTGAGCAGATGCTCTACCACTGAGGGGCATAACAATGACTTCAAAAGCACGCATGGCGTCCCGTCAAGAGTTTTGATTCCAGTTAATGCCTTTAAGGAGTATTTCCATTAACTCCAACAAGAATGACTCATGGAAGCTGAGCACCACTTGGTGAAAGTTTGTTCTGGTTACTTCCTTTAGAAATGAGAACTGCCTGTCTATAAAATGTACGATGTGAAACTACACCGTTCCTGATAAAGCGATCACTCCTTATGTAATGCTTTCTTTAGGCATTCATTCTGTGATGAAAAGGAGTGGAGACAGCAGGGTAAAACCTGTGACCACAGGAGTGATGTCTTTTGCAACTGGATCTCCATCTCCTCTTTCCAGATGATTCCTTGGGAGTTTCTCCAAATGTTGCTGGAGCGGTGAGGAGCTCTTCTAGGGCTGACAACCTCTAGGTGGGGCCTTAAGGTGGCTCGAGATCTCCTGGAGAGCCAGTTTGGTGTAGTGGTTAAGGGCGCGGACTCTAATCTGGGAGAACTGGGTTTGATTCCCCACTCCTCCACATGCAGCTGCTGGATTACCTTGGTCAAGCCATAGTTCTGTCAGAGCTGTTATCTCAAGGACAGTTCTCTCAGAGCTCTCTCAGCCTCACCTACCTCACAGGGTGTCTGTTGTGGGGAGGGGAAGGGAAAGGCGTTTGTAAGCCGCTCTGAGATTTTGAGTGAAGGGCAGGGTATAAATCCAATCTCTTCTATTCTCCTCTTCTGGAATTACAGCTGGTCTCCAGGTTACAGAAATCAGCTCCCCTGGAGAAAATGGCTGCTTTGGAAGGTGGGTTCTACGGTATACCCCACAGAGGTTCCTGCCTTCCTCAGCCTTCATTCCCTGATCTCCAGGAATTTACCAACCCAAAGCTGGCAACCCGACGGGGTTCCCCTATTTTTGCCCTAATGCCAAACTACAGAACACTTCTCCTAGAGGAAGTGTCTGCTTTGGAGGGTGGGCTCTATGGCATTGTACCCTGCTGAGACCCCTCCCCTCCCCAAGCCCCTCCCTCCCCAGGCTCTACCCCCAAATATCCAGGAATTTCCCAACCTGGAACTGGCAACCCTAATGCCCTTCCCACCTCTCTGAAGAATTTCATGCATCCCTCACAATCGAGCAAATGGATCTTTCCTCCCCATCCCCCATGGAGCTCAAGGCAGTACATGTAGGCTCTGTATAGATAACGCAATCAAAGGCACAAAAAATACCCACAATTCACACCAAACTAGCAAGGCTTACTGACAATGTAAGAATGTTCTTCTGCTCATGATTGGTTGCCCTGCTTAAACTAGTTTGATGTGAATTGTGGATATTTTCCCCTGCATAATATAATGAAGGCTTCTCTATATTGAGCACTAGATGAAGCTGTATGGTACAACTGAAGAAGTATCAACGAAGCAAAGATTGGAATCCGGAGTCTTCAACCTATGTCCTGTGTGCCGGCTTCTTTTGTACACTCTGTGTTGTTGTATGTCACATGTATACACGATATTGTATCTGTACACATTTGTGTTATATAAATATTCTTTGTTCCTTTGCTCTTCAGCATAGTGCCTTTGATTGCGTTATTTACACAGTGCTTTTTTTGGTTGTTATATACTGTACTGTGTTATCACTTTTGTAGTACATGTACAGGCCCTGATCGCGCCCAAGACCACCATTGTTTCTGCAGATTGGTGCATCCTGCACCTTCAGTCCCTGTCCTGGAACGCACACTGCTCTTCAGTATGTTTTGCGTGACCTGGTGTAGTGGTTAGGAGCGCGGACTCTAATCTTAGAGAACTGGGTTTGATTCCCCACTTCGCCACATGCAGCTGCTGGTGTGACCTTGGGCCAGTTACAAGTTCTTTCGGAGCTGTTCTCTCAAGAGCAGTTCTCGAGAGAGCTCTCTCACCCCCACCTACCACCCAAGGGTGTCCGTTGTGGGGAGGGAAAGGGGAAGGGACCGTAAGCCGCTCTGAGACTCCTTTAGGTAGTGAAGGCGGGGTATAAATGCAGTCTCTTCTTTTCTCTCTCTAGTGTTGGTTTCCTGGCTCTGAAGACGTTTGAACTGTTTCTCATTATTTGGGCTTTAATGTGCCTTCTGTAAAATTAACCAAGCAAGGCCATTAGGATCGTATCTGATCACAAAGTGTGTGTTTAATTATCGTTTTATGCTCTGGAGTAATAACACTTAACTCCTGTGAGTAAACACATCACACTTGATTTTGATGCCTGACCTACAGTCCTGCCCTCCCATTCTTCATGCTAAGACGATATCCCAGATGAACCATGTTATGACTTGAGCCAATGTCTTTGTTTCTTGTGGACGGGAATACTTGTTCTGAGTTGCTAAATTGCGTGACAGAAGTTTTGTTGAATGCGACATATTACTGTTCTTCCAGCAGTAACTCAGTAATGTGTGATTGCAATCTGTCGCTGTGGAGTTATAATGCCGTACAGTGACAATGTTGGTTCACACCACAAACAAGCATTTAGTAAAGTGCTAGTTAGGGAACAAGCCACCCCAACAGTTAGGAGAACCTGTTAATACAGAACACCTGTAATTAGCATTGTCTTCGTTAACAGGGCAAAATTATACCGCTACAATTAGGACAGTGCAGCTTTCTTTTTCTCCCTTCTTGTGAAAATACCTTAAGCCTGAAAGGATGGATTTCTTATGGAGTATGTTCTGAACGGGGCAAGCTCACAAGATGCAAAACGGGTCACTAACGAAAGAAGATGACATTTCTTGTTACTGTGTCTTCATGTGCAAAGACTGGTCAAGAGCAATGTTCTCTCTAAGCTGTGGAGTCTTGTGAGCAAAAATTCTACTTTGTGAGCGACTGGCATTAAAGTTGTGAGCAGGTGATTTGGCCACTGCATAAAATAGTTTGCCCTGGAGCCATCCTTCCTGAGCTAAGACAAAAATGTGTGAGCCAGAGGCTAAAAAACGGTGAGCTAGCTCACACTAACTCAGCTTAGAGGGAACACTGGTCAAGAGAAGGTTTTCGTGGGCCGGAAGCAAATATTAAAGACCTGCCAATGTCTGTGTATCAAGGGGCTGTTAAGGGCATGGAAGTGGTCATGTTTGTTGGAAAAATTCTGCAGCTCTATCCGTCACTACTCCTTACAGCAAGCAATGATGTGGAAAATCCAAGGGTGGTCAAAAGAATGGCCTTGGGAATGTAGCGTTCTAGAATGTTCTGCAACAACGGTGCTTATTCCCACTCTGTGTCTTACCACTGGGAACATTTCTCTCCATCTGATATTCCAATATGGAACTGTTTCTGTCTTGACCAGAAAGAAGCTTCAGTATAATTTTTTGAAGAAGATTAACCTAGGGCAAACACTAAATCTGAAAGATAACAGCTTACCACATTTATGGCTGTGAGGTGATTTCTACCATGGAGTACTTTCCAGCTGTGTTGATTGTCGCCAATATAGTATTGTTGCCAATACGATAAATATTTTTTTTGGGGGGGGGGGGAAACCCACTATCTCTTCTGGATCACTGATAGAATCATCATTGATAGAATCTAGAGGAAGTTGTGGAAGGCTGTATTTTAGAAGGAGAGCTATACATTCAGATGGTTAGGTGGTCTCCATTCCCTTAGTTGGGTTGGAACTCTGGTGGAAGATATCAAAAGCCTCCTTCCCCATGAGTAGAATGCAAAGGCTCTTGATTTGCTGCGGGCTAAAAATACCTCGTGTGACATCGTCACAGAATTCCTTAGGTGGCAAGTTACCGACTCAGCACACCCGATGCACGTGCTGACGCTTTTAAACAAGCCAGCAGGTCACCGTGAAAATGGGAACCTCCCCCGTGAGGTATTGCTCAGCCTCGAGGTATGCAACTTGACACGGGTCAGTAAAAATGAGCCAGGCCTTTATCAGTGAACTTGGTTCAGCCAGAAGCAACCCATAGCATATGAGTGGCCCAAAGTGCCCTTGTGGATTTAAATATTTGTTACAAAGCAACGTAGGACACTCCTAGGTGAGTCACATGATGACAGATGAAGCTGTCTTGTGCTGAATCAGACCATTGGTCCTTCAAGGTCAGTATCGTCTACTCAGGCGAGCAGCGGCTCTCCAGGGTCTCAAGAACAGGTCTTTCACATCACCTGCTACCTAGTCCTCTCATCTGGCTATGTCCGGGATTAAACCTGGGACCTTATGCTCTAATGTTAAGCCACCCATGGAACGAAAGAAGCAGGGAAAATGCTCTGAGACGGAAACTTATTTGCCTCTAAAAAAATTTAGCTAATAGTTTTGTAAGTGAGACGAAAAAAGGCTGATGGGTTAACAAAGGCAGTTTCTTACACAAAGATGTATATAATGATCCCCCTCCAAGAGTAATAAATTAAAATATTCCTAAGCAAATTGTCTGACTTCATTGTTCTGACATTTGAATGTGTCGGGTTGGAAGCCAAGATATCTTATTCACATCAGTTAAGCGCATTAAAAAAAGTAATAATAATGCTCCACACCTCTGGCCTGAACTTCTGGTGAAACATTACCAAGCTGTGTGGTTAAGAGGGTGAATCATAATTTCTAGCAGCTGCATCATTATGACATGGTGCGTCCGTGGTTGAATAGAGCAACAGAAGATATAACCTTGTGATAATGAAATAGCTTAATTTCATGCAACATAATGCCAGGACATGCGCTTTAGTCTTGCAGGACTCGTTGATATTGTTTGTGATGGAGTTGCTCTCTAATATTAGCTCACCTAGTAGCAGAAAAGCTCTTTTTTGGTACATTGATAGCATCTCTGTTCTATCGGACAGAAAGAGTTCCTAAAAGATATTTGGAGTTCAGAAATATATGCTGGTGGACAACCTGTTCACGACTGAAGCCTCTTGCCAGATGGCTGGCTTCAAATGTTCACGCTAATTAGTACATGCAAATGAACTAAGGTTGTATCTACTCCCCAGGATAAAAAGCGTACATTACAATGCAGAGATGATTTCCATGTAGCTAACATAATTTGCATTGGTTTGGCACATGGAGACTCGTCTGAGTACCGCCTGATGATGGGCGATGTTTCCCTTCTGTGTGGCTGCTGATGACTTTACCTCTTCCTGCATCTCCACCTACTGTGATTAATGTGCTCAGAAACGGCAAAACTTAAGCTGTAGCTATTTCAATTCTTTTGACCTGGATGGTGTAATGTATTCAGATGCTGCCATGAGTACATTAGGATGTGTGTGAAACATCCCATTGGGAAGCAATGCTAAGCTTCGTCTTGGATAGAGGATTCTAGTCCAAGACTACATGACCAATCACATTCAAGCAAGCTGCAAGCGGGAACGTTTGTGATTGGACCTTATGCGATCAATCTGATAGGTTGTTATCTGTAAAGTAGGAGTGGCTATATTAGCCGGGAATGTTTAAATACGGAGCAGTTTCAATGGGCAAACTGTTCGGGCTATCAGATGTTGTACCGTGTTGGAGAACTGATCGTGAAGAGAATAAACTTGAGTTTTTGGCTGAAATCACTCTCCGACTATTTGTTAAGCTCAGGACTTAACAGATGGCCCAGGCTAGCCCGATCTCGGAAGCGAAGCCCTGTTAGTACTTGGATATGAGACCACCAACAAAATATAGGGTTGCTCCACAGAGGCAGGCAATGGCAAACCACCTCTGAACCAGGGCTGTATTGTCCATAGGGCTGACTAGGCCGAAGCCTAGGGGGCCTGCAGGGACTAGGGACCCATCAATTTTTATTTTTATTTTTTGCAGTTTTTATTTTCTCTTCATAGACAGCCTGTAATATATAACCTCTATTAACAGGACACTTAACTGCTTCCTTATTGCAGTGAAACAAATGGTCTCTTATATTAAGACAATTATCCATTAATTATATTTTAATACATTATTTAAAAATTATGAACGTCAAAATATTGCAGTATTGAACAATTATACCCCCCAAATGTGCATTCCTGAAGAGTTCTATGCGCACAATAAAATATATATTTAAAAATTGTGAATAGAATTCTTCAGGAGACCCTCAAAATGGATACAGGGCTATGTACTGCGGTCTAGTACCTACTGTACAAGGATCAGGCTGACAGCTGTAGTGGGGTGAAAGATTGAAGTGCCAGAGGGCCCCCGAAATACCTGAAAGCCCAGGGGTTCGAACATGGGTTAATACGGCCCTTCTCTGAACAGCTCTTGCCTTGAAAACCCCACGAGATCGCCATAAGTCGGCTGTGACTTCATGTTACTTTCCACTATCGCCATGGTCTCTTGAGGCTAGTTTGAGACTTCTTTCTTTGGTCTTTAAGTAGCCCCTTTCAGCATCCTCTGACATGATCACGAAACCTCTGTTGTCATACCAGTGTATCACCGTTATAATGCTTGGTACAAAATCGGGCTCATATACAGAATCGTTGATGGTTTCCTTAGCATTGATGGAAATGTTGGTATCATTGATGCGGCATCAGTATGAAGTGTGACTCAATGCAGAAGAATCGATCAAGAAGTTACTGAAAAGCCATAGAACTCGTAATTAATAAAATGGCTTCACAGGTTAACTCGAGAGCCAGTTTGGTGTAGTGGTTAAGTGTGCGGACTCTAATCTGGGAGAACCGGGCTTGATTCCCCACTCCTCCACTTGCACCTGCTGGATGACCTTGGGCAAGCCATAGTTCTGAAAAGAGCTGTTCTTGAAAAAGAGCAGTTTTTGTCAGGAGCTGTCTCAGCCCCACCTACCTCACAGTGTGTCTGTTGTGGGGAGGGGAAGGGAAAGGAGTTTGTAAGCCGCTCTGAGACACCTTCGGGTAGTGAAGGGCGGGGTATAAATCCAATTTCTTTTCCTTCTTCTTTGAAGTGGGACCTATTTCTAAATTTACTGTATTCTGGCGACCCACTTGAGCATTTACTGGCATGTATCCTACCATTTCACTGTGCAAAGTTCAAATCCTTCCTCTTGAGACAGTCTTCCTCCGACTTTTCCCTAGCAGATACATGGGCCCACGTTTGAGTATGGTTGCCAGTTCTGGGTTGGGAAGTTCCTAGAGATTGGGTGTGTGTGTCTGGGGAGGGCGGGGTCTGAGGAGGGGAGGGGCCTCAGCAGGATATAAGGCTATAGAGTCCACCCTCCAAAGCAGCCATTTCCTCTAGGAAACTTCTCTCTTTTAGTCTGAAGATCTGGGAAACCTCCTGGCCATACCTGGAGGCTGGCAACCCTGCTTCTGGGGCCCACTTGCAGAGTAGCTCCACATTTATCTCCCAGGATAAAACACAGGAATCTCAGATCAGCTAACACTAAATAAGTGTATATCGTTAATGTTTAGAAATGTATAAAATATATCACAAGATTGAGCAACAGGGTGTATTTCTTGGCCATTCTGTGCATTATTTGCAGAGGCATACTTGCATTTACTATTGAGCCTCTGCTCCAATTTTGCCCTAATTCTCTTCCTCTTCCGGTCTCATCGCCTGCGAGAGAGCCATAATCCTCTTTTGGGTCCTGACCACCAGGATGAAAACAAGTAGATCAATGTAATGGGAATTCAGACTTAGTTGTAAACGATATTGAGGTAGGGGGAAAGTACCGTGGCCCAAGTCAGCTTTCCTACTGAGTTTGCCATTTACTTGGTGAATATCAGAGAGCATCTACATTGCAAACACAGATAAGGAGAACTTCCACTTTTCCTGTTTTGTAGGTCATGAAATTTTCTGGATGAAAACACCTGTGGAATATTGTTCTTTCTCGTATGGTGCTGGGGTTGGTAGCGTAGTCCATTCTATTAGAATTAGTTGATTTGTTGATTTTAAATTGTATTTGTATGTTTTAACATGTTGTAAATCGCCCAGAGCCCTGTGTACTCAGGGATTCAGAAATTGAAAATAATAATAATAATAACAACAACAATAATAACAACAACAACAGTAACAGCAATAATAATAATAATATTCCCATTCCACATGCATCTTCCATGTGTGGAAATGAACCACTCCTATCCCGTGTTCTGGAGTTAAATCGTGCTGTTGTTTTTCCTGTTCCCAAGCAGTAATGCTTTTCATTTATTGAACACAATGGGCGGTATTCTACTGGAGGATGGAGGAAGTTCCTTCAGCCTAAGAAGTATTTATACAGCAAGTAGCTCTTCAGTTGGAAGGACAGCCACCAATGTTGCAGGAAGGCGTCAAAGTTTGCCTGGAGGAGTGATAGGCCACAGGCTCACAGGCCAATAGTACAGGAGAAAATTTAAGTCACTGAGGAGTCAGTAGCTTGAAAGGTATGCTAAAACACTCTGTAAGGGATAGAGGCTCATTATCTCAGAATATTGTAGGAACATGCAACTCAGCATAAGAGCTGTGAGGTCTCTTGAGTTCTCTGTTATTTTACCAAACTGCAGCTCATTGTATGTTTCTTTTGCAGGCAGTGACCGGGAAAAGTTTCGGAAACAAGGATTTTCGTGCTGCTTTGGAAAACGGAGTCCTGCTATGCGAGTAAGTAATGAGATACAGGACTAAAGATAAAGAGGCTTGTTCTCTGGCTGTCTGGGTAATTTAAGGGGCTGGTGGCAGTGATACCCTGAGGTGGGTGGACTCGCACTTCAGGCTTTTGTTTGTTTGCTCCTACCAAACCCACCACCCTCCTGGAGCAGGCTCTCTGACTTGGGAGTCTGGCCCACCTGGCAACACTGTAGAGGTGATGGATTTGCGATGGGATTCTTGTTTAAAGTAAATCAGCAGAGTATTAAAGAGACTGAGTCCATGGTGTGTTTAAACGAATATAAAAGTTTACTATAACCTAGCACGGGAAAAGGTACACAGGATATAAAATAACAAAGAGCTAAAATGGCTACATCCTTACAGCTAAAAGGTAAAACTGGAATGGCATGGCGTCTTCTTCTCAGTCAGAACAAAGAAACACAAAGACGGAAGAGAAGCCATAAAATGCTAATACTTGACACTTTGGTTTCCAATCAGAGTAGCAAACTAGCTCCAAAGTTCCCGGGCATCCTATAATCTAAATAGATTGGTTACAAACAAACATGTGACTTAACAAACATCATTAACCCAGTAAATACTGAAGTGTTTTAACTTGTAACACACCACAGTTTGTGACTAGCCCAGGCTAGCCCAATCTCGTCAGATCATGGAAGGTAAGCAAGGTTGGTCGTGGTTAGTATTTGGATGTCCAGGGTTGCTACGCAGAGGCAGGAGATGGCAAACCACCTCTGAACATCGCTTACCTTGAAAACCCTACAGGGTTGCCATAAATCAGATGTGACTTGATGACAATTTCCACCACCACCACCACCACCACCACCACCCCCACCACCACCAAAGATGTAATAGTAGTGAATACCCTACACGTGGTGGTTAGGAAATCAGCTATGCACACATGGATGCTTACAAACTCAAGTTCTGGCTTCCCTCCTTGTTAGTTTCAACCAGGACTACACTGGCATTGGCACGAATCAGGGTTCATTTTACCCCTTTGTTTCTTGGCCAGGCAGATTCCAACTCTGGTTTCCGTTCCTTTGCCTTGAAAATGTTATGGGGTCGCCATAAGTTGGCTGTGACGTGATAGCTCTTTACACAGAATGAGAAAAGGGAGGTTGGGATTCCTTTAATTTTTAAATTGACAGTAGGCAGGCCTTCCAATAATACCTCTCTTTTGGGCCAGGGTCTTTAGCTTGCAGTACTTTTTGTTATATCTTCTGAAATGGTCTCTAGGGTCATAATTAGCTATGATAAATCTTAGATGCCAATCTTAAATATATTTATGCTTTATTTCTCTCATCTCTCCTATCCGTGACGTGGCTTGCAAAAATTATGTATCAATGCCATTAATAGAATTCAACTGCTGATCATTCTTTTTATATCAAATATGGTATAAAGTTGGGGGGAAATTGAACTTTTTTTGTTCAGTTCTCCGACTCTGTTATTAATATCTTCTTGGCTATAGTGTCAGATATGTTTTTTTTTTAAATTTAAGTTATTTATAGGCCGCCTTTATCACTCGGACTCAAGGTGGATTACACAGTGTCAGTACAAGGGTTGCCAACCTCCAGGTGGTGACTGGAGATCTCCCTCTATTACAAGTGATCTCCAGGTGACAGAGGTCAGTTCGCCTGGAGAAAATGGCTGCTTTGGAAGGTGGACTCTATGGCATGGTACCCCACTGAAGTCCTCCGACCCCACAGTCCTCGGGCTCCACTTCCAGACCTCCAGGGGTTTCCCAACAGGGAGCTGGCGACCCTAGATGATACAATCAACAGGATGGGACAGTCAATAAACAACGCAATAGGATTAGGGTTGTAGAGCCAACCAGAAGTCTAGAAACAGAACTGAAGCAAAACCTAAGTGTTAAAACGACACATTAAAAATGATGCAAAATTACACAGCAGCAGGGGTCATTTCCTGCAGGAGCGCACAGGAGCGGAGCTCCGGCAGTAAAGAGCCCAGGGGGGCGGGCACATGCAACAAGCCCCGCCCCCTGCTCCCAGCAGCCCTCAGCCGGGCCACGAGGAGCAAGAAGCAGCCAGGTAAGTTGCAGAGGGTCCCCCCCGGCCTGCCTTTGGGTACAAGCTCTCCCTCCTCTGTGAGGGCAAATCTGCGTATCCCCCCCTCCATAGCTAGCAATCCAAAACAGTCCAGTGGCACCTTTAAGACCAAGTTCCCCCCTCTGTGAGGACAGATCTGTACCTTCCCCCCCCCCCCCCATAGCTAGCAATCCAACACAGTCCAGTGGAGTCTGAGCGGTGGGTGTTGCCTTCTGACACACTTCTGGTGATGTCAGGGGGTGTGGCGTATGCAAATAAGTTATGCTGATGAGCTCCTGCACCTCTTTTTCTACGAAATGACCCCTGCACAGCAGGATCCTACTTATAGAGTACTATGCATAGTAGTATAGACCACAATCCTTAATCATTTATCCACATAACTTTCTGAAATCAAATCTGTACAGAGCAACCATTTTGCTCCCCCCCGCCCTGCCTAGTGGTGGCAGAAATGCTGAAAATATGGGAACTTCCCAATAGAGGTGCCTTCGTGCCGGGACCTTTGGCCAAAGCCTCCATTTCCTGGCTGGCCTTTTCTGGGCTAGGAGTGGAGCCTCCTATCTTCAAACTGGAACTTGGCAGTTGTGCCAACAGCACTGCCCGCCTAATATATGCAGATTTCTAGTTGATCAACAAGCTCCTTCCAGGGCATTCCTAAATGGCAGGGCTGGACAAGTACTCGAAGATAACCTTGTTCCTTAGTTCAGTCTAATGAGAAAAATGGAAAGGAGGCGAATAGGGGAGGCAGAAACCTGCTGCAAAGGAAGGGGGGAAAGGAAACGATGCAGAGATGTCTTGTAGAGCAGTACAGGATGCGCATTCTGGTTTTACACAGAGGTGGAAGTTTCATATGCATCTGTCTGGGATATAGGTGATGGCCCCACATTCATAACGGAACGCTATACCCAGCTTGAAACGCTCTGATGAGACATGGTGAATCAGGAGGCGAATGCGTTCCGTAATGAGCGTGTCCTTTAATTAGTGGAGCCCTGACCACTCGAAGGAAAGGATTATCAGCTCTTGAAAAAGAGGTGGCTCAAAATGGATGCTATTGAACGTCTGTAGAGATTTGGTTTTGCTGATGCTTTGAAAGCTAGAAGCCCCTGCAGTGACTTTATTAATACATATGCCAATAAAGGTCTGTGTATGTGACTTTATTAATTTAAGGAGGACTCTTTGAACAAGTTTGGAATACTATGGACTACTTAGCATTGTTTCATGTTCTCCTCTGGATACCAATGTGATTAAATAGTGGGCTTCATGTTTGTATTTTTTCGGAGGGATTTACTTCTATGATTGATTATTATTAGGATGATACATAGACATTTATATTGTTATTGTAATTTAGACATTAAGATATTTCAGCACTTTATTCATTAAATACATACATATGTATGTGTATAAAAATAAATTAAAAAATGGTAAATATTTAATGGGATTTATTGTTAGTTATGACATGGTAATGGTTCTATTCTATTACATGATTGTTTGCTGTGATCCCAGTATGTTTTTCCTGCCAACCTAGCAGTTCGAAAGCAAGAAATTGCAAGTAGATAAATAGGTACCACTTCAGTGGGAAGGTAACAGTGTTCCGTGCGCCTTGGTGTTTAGTCACGCCGGCCACATGACTACGGAAATGTCTTCGGACAGCGCTGGCTCTTCGGCTTTGAAACGGAGATGAGCACCGCAACCCTAGAGTTGGATTCGACTGGCTTTCGAGCAAGGGAACCTTTACCTTTACAGTATGTTTATTGCTAGCAGAGACTGGCAAGAGTTTCAGGGTGTAAGCTTTCAAGAGTCAAAACTCCCTTCTTCAGACACCAGTAGAAGTGGAAATCTTATTTTCTCCAAGGGAACTGATTTCTGTCATCTGGAGATCAGTTGTAATTCCAGAAGCTCTCCAGGTGCTACTTGGAGGTTGGCAACACTAGTGCCTGAGGTTGTCCTATAAGAACAGAAGACGAACTGTTGGGTGTTACAAGTTAAAACACTTTCAGTATTTACTGGGTTAATGATGTTTGTTAAGTCACATGTTTGTTTGTAACCAATCTGTTTAGATAATAGAAAGCCCGGGAACTACGGAACTAGTTTGTTGTTCTGATTGGAAACCAAAGTGCCAAGTATTAGCATTTTATGGCTTCTCTTCCCGTCTTAGTGTTCTTTGTTCTGACCAAGAAGAAGAAGCCGTCTATTCTGCCATTTCAGTTTAGCTGTAAGGATGTAGACCATTTAGCTCTTTGTTATTTTATATCCCGTGTACCTTTTCCCCATGCTAGGTTGTAGTAAACTTTTATTCTTTTAAACACACCATGGACTCTGTCTCTTTAATACTCTGCTAACAAACTTTAAATCAAGAATCCTAACATGAACCCTACTGGATCAGATCAGCAGCCTATCGAGTCCAGTTTGACAAGGATGATCGGGGGCCTGGAGACCAAGCCCTGTGAGGAAAGGCTGAGGGACTTGAGAATGTTCAGTCTGGAGAAGAGGAGGCTGGGGGGGGGGATATGATGGCTCTCTTGAAGTATTTGAAGGGCCGTCACTTAGAGGAGGGCAGGGAGCTGTTCTTGTTGGCAGCGGAGGATAGGACTCACAACAATGGGTTTAAATTACAGAGAGAAAAGTACCCAGTGGATACGGGGGGGGGGATGTTTACAGTAAGAGTAGTTCAGCAGTGGAATCGGCTGCCTCGGGAGGTGGTGAGCGCCCCCTCACTGGCAGTCTTCAAGCAACAGTTGGATGAACACTTGTCAGGGATGCTCTAGGCTGATCCTGCATTGAGCAGGGGGTTGGGCTACAGATGGCCTGTATGTCCCCTTCCAACCCTACTATTCTACATAATGGCCAACCAGTTGCGCTGTGATCGGAGATGTGCTACAGCAGTGTGGGAGCAAGTCAAGTCGCGGATTTCCAGAGATGTGGCCTAGTGACACCCCAGCCTCTTCCCCTTTGTTTCCTTTCTCTGCCTGTCTCGTGTGGCTCCTTTTCTCCCTCTAGTACTAATGCGCAGAAATGTCCCTGTTGCCTTCTGTGGAAGGGGAAGGCTGTCTCCATTGAGTCTCTCTGGGGTTGCCAGTCTCCAGGTGGTGGCTGGAGAACTGTTATTACAATTGCTCTCCAGGCAAGAGAGTTCAGTTCACCCGGGAGAAAATGGCCATTTCAGAAGGTGGACTTTATGCAGCTGTGCCCTGTCGAAGTCCCTCCCCTCCCCGAGCCCCACCTTCTTCAGGCTCCACCACCCAAATCTCCAGGTATTTCCTAACCTGGAGATGGCAACTGTAAGTCTCTCTCTCTCCTGTCTTGGTTCTTCTGGCTCTTTTGTCTTCTTGTCTATCTGCGATCTTATGCAAAGTTATGTGAGGGTGGGTAAGTCTGTATGAACATGTAGAGGAGGGAAAGAACAATCAGGTTTCTTACAGAGCCAGTTTGGTGTAGTGGTTAAGCGCGCAGACTCTAATCTGGGAGGACCGGGTTTGATTCCCCACTCCTCCACTTGCACCTGCTGGATGACCTTGGGCAAGCCGTAGTTCTGACAAGGGCTGTTCTTGAAAAAGAGCAGTTTCTGTCAGGAGCTCTCTCAGCCCCACCCACCTCACAGGGTGTCTGTTGTGGGGAGGGGGAGGGGAAGGCGTTTGTAAGCCGCTCTGAGATTCCCTTGGGTAGTGAAGGGCGGGGTACCAATCCAATCTCTTCTTCTTCTCTTCTTATCAGAGAGGCAGGACTGAGAATATGCTCATAAATAACTCAGTGCTTACGTACTTGGGTGTCTGAGCCTTGATGTTCCCAGCAGTGAAATGGCTCTTTATGTTTAAAAATGCTGAAAAGTTGACAATTGAATTATCTGCGTTGAGTGGGTAATCCTGTGCTAAGCACTTGTCTCTCCACATTGGTGTCTATCACCATCTTTGTCTTTGAGGACAGTGTGTACAGTGGTTAGACTATGGAGACCGGGGATCTTAACCTTGTTCACCCGAAAAACTTACCCTTAACCTTGGCCCAAACCTACCTCACACGGTGGTTAGAGTAGAGGACAGGCACTTATTCCACTCTGAGCTCCTTGAAGTAAATTAGAATGAAATAAATTAGAATGTTAACTACAACAGCATCCTACAGTATGGGAAGGTGGAGTTTGTTTCTGGTGCGGAATTCTTTTCTAGATCAGTGATATTGGAAACATTTTGAAGCTGGTAGGCTGCAAAGTCTTCGGAACAAATGAGCAGCCCTTTGATTTGTGTTATGAGAGGAGAGATTTCGAAAGTGTTCATAACTTTCGAAAGTGTTCTTCCTCAGAGCTGAAAAATGCCTAATGGGTGCTTTAGAAATCCCTGCGCCTAATTGTCATGCCATGCATTTGGCCTTCAGAATATGAGGATTTGTGCCATTTGGCGGGTGAGAATCCTCTATCTCTTCTGAAGCATCCATGCATGCTAACAAGCACCCACTTGCGAGTTAACGCGCGTCCTGACTTGGATGATAGTCTTTATGAAATGGAAAGCTTTCTGAGAATGCAAAACTACATTGCTCTACCTTGTTTTGTTCTGCGGCTAGGTTTTATAGACGGGTCGCTTTATAATTTTTAAGTGTTTTATGAGCAAACGGGGGGAAGAGGAATGTTCTTCCTGTAGCTATGCTATTTTGAAACAGTAGATCTTCAGTTATAGTCTCGATTGCCAGATGGTAGATCATAAAGTTGTTTCATCTCTCAGTTTTATGGGTGCCGTGAAAATGGACAGGGATGCCGTGAAAATGGACAGGGGCGTAGTTCCTGTTACTCTTCTGGCAAAGATGAGGGCAACCAGGCCTGTTTCAATCCCGGGAGGGGCCGTGGTTCAGCGGTAGAACATCTGGTTGGCATGCAGAAGGTCCTGAATTCAGTCCTCAACATCTCCAGTTAAAGGATCTGGCAGCTGGTTATGTGAAAAGCCTTCAGTCCCTGGAGAGTCTGAGTAGACGGTACTGACTCTGATAGACGAAGGGTCTGATCCTGTGTTGATCCCAAAATCCCACTTTGCCCAAGATTTGACTGCCGGTGACTGGGCCCTAATTATTATAGACATGGCTCATGCTCTTTAGTAGGGTGTCTCACCGCTGCTTCTTTCAACACAGCTTGGATTACTTCCTCCCTCAGATGTTTAGCACCTACTCGTCCCACTCCACCAACTGGTCCCAGCTAGAAAAGGGGCCCGTGTCAGCCTCGATGCCTCTGAAGCGTGGACAGCTTCTTCCCTTCATCAGGCCTCACCGAGAGACTTCCTCACAACTAGGACCAGTCTCTGCTTCAGTACCACCTTGAGACTGAACCAAACCAGCTGTGGCATCATGGGGGGGAGGGGATACCAAAAGCAATGTCTGATGGTATCAAAAGCTGGTTAGTTGAGACTGAACCAAACCAGCTGTGGCATCCACGTCATGGGGGGAGGGGATACCAAAAGCATACCGTGTCCGATGGTATCAAAAGCTGGTTAAAAGCTGGTTAGATGTTCGAGGGGAGCGACAAGATGCCCTTCCTCTGTCTCCCAGTCCAGGCTGCCCACCAGAAGAGAAAAATCAAGCTGGGATGGAAAGTACTGAAGCATGTATAGGGAATTGGCTTAATCCAGGAGTCTCTGGAGCTGAACCACCACCACCTGATTTACCCAAACAAGGGTTATTGACAGTGGGCTGATAGCGGGAAGTATTGTTGGGTGTTGCTGGGGGGGTTTCTTTCTAGAAGTGTCCTTACCACAATTTCCTTTAAAGTAAGACCACAAGAACATCAAAAGAGCCCTGCTGGATCAGACCAGTGGTTGATATAGTGCAGCCTCCTGTCTCACACAGGGGCCAACCAGTTCCTCTGGAGGGCCAGCAACGGGGCAGAGAGGCCGAGGCCTTCTCCTGAGGTCGCCTCCTGGCTCTGGGATTAGTGCCTCTGAACGTGGAGGTTCCCCTCAGTCCCCATGGCGAGTAGTCACTGATAGACTTATCCTCCATGAATCTACCTAATCCCTTTTTAAAGTTGTTTATTCTTATGCCCTTGAGAGGCAGGGGCCACTTCCTTTCTGAATGAGGAATTCACAACCTCTCAAACCTCTGTGATGATCTGTTATCTGAAATTCGGTGCTTTGAGTTCAATGTCCGAGTAAAGCACATGGCCCTCCATTGGAACACCTTCACCTGTTGCTTGAAGTATCTATATGTTCATTTTAGATACAAACACATATATATGCATCCAAATATATTAGACAAAGCTCAATTTTAAGTTAGTTTTAAATAAATGGCTCAAATAATGTTGAGTGAGACTTGTTTGCAAGAGTTATTAATTTTAGTCATCTGCGAATTCAACCCTAGAGTGAATTTACACTACAACGCATGATTTGACTCGCATCCTTTTTTTTTTGTTTTTGTAGTCTAATTAACAAGATCAAGCCTGGTGTCATTAAGAAGATTAATCATCTGTCAACGCCAATAGCTGGCCTGGTAAGTAATGAAATACTCTTTTTCTTTTTTTGTATTGTCAGCGTTGCCATCTGGATTTTCTTGATTTTTGCCTCCAAATGAATAACATGCTAGCATTGCGGTCTTAAAACAAAAAATAATGATGCGGGCTTAGGTTTTTCATGGCAATGATGCCATGCAACCAAGTACTGGAATTATTGGCTCTTATACTTTTAACAGTTTGATGCTCTGAGCTGGATACAGCAATCTGCAGGTTACAAGGATCGCAGATCTCGCCCTCCTCCCACCGTCCTTTCCCAGCCAAGAGAAGTTAATGCCTGGGATTTCAAGATCCACATGGGCTGAAAGGCCCCATGGTGTTGGCAGGCCCGTAGCTACAGTGGGGCATTTCGGGGCCCTGCCCCCTTAATTAAAAACCCCACCCCACAAATTGTTTGATTCCCCCACTCCTCCACTTGCACCTGGCTGGATGACCTTGGGCAAGCCGTAGTTCTGATAAGGGCTGTTCTTGAAAAAGAGCAGTTTCTGTCAAGAGCTCTCTCAGCCCCACCTACCTCACAGGGTGTCTGTTGTGGGGAGGGGAAGGGAAAGGAGTTTGTAAGCCGCTCTGAGACTCCTTCAGGTAGTGAAGGGCAGGGTATAAATCCAGTCTCTTCTTCTTCTCCAGCACTTTAATCCGCATGTTTCCCAAAGGCTCACAGGAATGCTTTTTAAAAACTCACCACAGCCTAGGTGGTATACAGCAGGACTAGGCTAACAGGACTAGGCTAAGCTTTCTTGCCCTGTGGAAGGAAACTCAAAAGGCAGTTAAATGCCCTCTGAGCTGTTTTTTCCTAGGAACTGACATGTTCACTGCCCTGTCCCTTGAAAAGAAGGGCTAAAAACAGACTCGGAGCCTCCCCCTTTAAAGAAAGGCATTCATATTAATTTAATTAACTGTAATTTCACTGCCCCTTTAAAACATTTAAATGTGCCCCGAACAACAAAAAAATCCTGGCTACGGAACTGGGTGTTGGTGGGAACGAGAAACCCCTCTCCCCTCTTAGCAGTTCCATGATTGGAGCTGCCCGGATGGAAGAGGAGGGGGCGATTTCATTCTCGTCCCTGTCCCCCTCTCCACCGCGGTCTCCCTGTCCTTGTGGCTATTAGTCTGCGTCTGGTCCCGCAGCTTTCCCAGGATTGGAAAGGGGGGAGCTGAATGTAGGAAAGGTCTGTGGCCATTGGTGCTTTCTGCTGACAGATCTCTGGGCCCGACCCTCTTAAAGCAACTTGAACTAGATTTAATTTTTTTACTCTTAATATTGGACCCTTTCACTAAGGAGATACTAATCTTGTCGTAATGCCAAAGTCCAGAGATACTTCCTACTTCCAAACAGGTAAATATTATGGCCAGATTTTGAGGAACTATTCCATTGTGTAGAGCAGTATGGCCTTAGCGGAGGCTATATTTTAAATAGCTCACAAGGAGCAATTCTAAGCGAGGACTACTAAAAAGTGATTTGTTAGTTGATAGGGGCTTACTCTCGGGAAAGTGTTTCAGGATTGCTCTGTTAATCTACCTGCCTGCCTTCGAAAGCTGATATCCAGTCAAGGTTTGTAAGCTGTCTTGGTTCAGTTGAGTAAAATGTTTGTGGTTTCAGCAGGTTGGTTGGTGGTGGTCTTGAATATCTGAAAGTGAGTGATTAGAATCACATAGGAAGGTGGGGAGGGCTCTCGTGGCCTTTGACCTGGAAAGGGGGGGGAATAGAGAGTGCTTTCCTCATGTCTTGCCTGATGATAGTGAATCGGTGGGAAGAGCTTCTGTTCTTGGCTTTTCACCTTTTGTTCCCTTCAAAATGTCATAGTTTTGCTAACAAAAGACAGGCCAATTCTGCATCTAGCATTCGCTCTACGTTTTCTCAACTGGGAAGGAAAAGTGTCCTTCAAAACCACATTCAAATACCTCAGGGCAACGCCATACCGACTGCAAAGTCACCCCTGAACTGCCATAAATCTATCTAGGATACCATAAAACCCAATGATCAAAGAAAGTGAAAGTGGCATGCTGTGTAGAGGGCATCATAAAAAAATCCAGTGATCAAAGAAAACGAAACCAGCATGCAATGCAGAGGGGAATTTCTGTTCCAACGTGGGTTTCATAAAGCAATGGAGGGAAAAGCCAATGCAGAATTGCCCACAGTCTGCTTAGACCATGTAACTCTTATGAGGTGCATTCTCTCAAAAGCTCAACCCCTGAACTGCCATAAATCTTCATATGTCCTCATAAAACCCAATGATCAAAGAAAGTGAAAGTGGCATGCTGTGTAGAGGGCATCATAAAAAAATCCAGTGATCAAAGAAAACGAAACCGGCATGCAATGCAGAGGGGAATTTCTGTTCCACCGTGGGTTTCATAAAGCAATGGAGGGAAAAGCCAATGCAGAATTGCCCACAGTCTGCTTAGACCATGTAACTCTTATGAGGTGCATTCTCTCAAAAGCTGTAGAAACCAAACAGCAGACTGTTTCATTTGTCCTGCTAGGGTAATATGCATAGTGCTAACAGAACCTGTGGAGTGGTTCTGATTGCCGTTTGTCACAAAGTGCATACAGATGTTAATACATCTGGAAATGTTTGAGGAAAATTAATGTATGTGGTTGTCTTAGCAACTTCCATCTGTATGATACCCTTTGCGTAGAACATTCCTTGAATGTTGGGCTTTTAAACCTTAATAATAATAATAATAATAATAATAATAATAATAATAATAATAATAATAATAATCAAATGTGTTTTGAAGCAAGCATTTCCATAACAAAAAGGCTGTTTTCTTCATACAGAGAGGTTGATGTTAAATTCTGACTAAAGGATGTACCTTTAGTATCCACCTTAGTATTGTTGTATGTTATAATATACTTTGATATGCTCAAGCGCTTTGTTCTATCAATCGGTGCTTCGTTTGTTTAGATCATCTCAGGACTGTGTTCTCCATCGCATATGTGTATTTGTTTTTAATCCCTAGTTGGGGGCAGGGGATCCCCTGGTTTGGAGCCCCTCCCCCCGCTTCAGGGCTGTCAGAAAGCATGGGGGGATGGGCCACTGGGCGCTCCATTATACTCTACGGAGACTGGTCCCCATAGGATATAATGGAGAATCAATCCATGGGTATCTGGGGCTCGGGGAGGGGGGGGCGTTTTTTGAGGTAGAGGCACCACATTTTCAGCATGTCTGATGGTGCCTCTCCTGAAAAAACAAACAAACCCAAGTTTCAAAAAGAGTAGACCAGGGGGTCAAATTCTTTGAGCCTCAAAAGAAGGTGCTCCCTCCTCCGTTATTCCAAAAGGAGGGAAAGCATTTAAAAGGAATGGTTTTGAAAGGAATGCTTAAATGTGATGGCCAGAACTCCCTTCCGGCTTGTTGGACTCACCTGGCAACCCTAGTGATATAGGGCTGCCAAGTGGGGGCGGGTGGCGGGTAAACCCCCGCTTCGGAGGCCCGATTTCCGCTGCCGCGGAATCGGGCCCCGGGGGGAACTCCGCCCCTGCGTGCGCGTCACCTGGAAGTGACGCAGGCACGGTGGGGGCGGGGCCACAGCCATACAAGCTTTGCACGCGCTCGCACACCCGATGACGGCCGGGAGCCCCCCGCTCCCGGCGAAGACTCACTTGGCAACCCTATAGTGATATCACAAATGTGATGTCACATCCTTGCTCCTGGCTCCACCCCCAAAGTCCCCAGATATTTCCTGAGTCAGACCTGGCAACCCTAGGGTGCGTCCTGAGTGGCTGTTCATGGTGGAACCACAGACACCATTTTATGGACTTGTCTGGCGGGAGCTGGTCCATGGGGTCGCGAAGAGTCGGACTCAACTGTGCGACTGAACAACAACAACTGCGACCATTCCGTAGAGCAGTGCAGCTAGGGTGATCGAGGGTCACAGGTGCCATATAAAATGAACATACTCCCCCCCACACTACGTAGCACTGTCAAGGGATTAGACTGTGTTATGTTTGGCAGCGGCAACTGGAGTCTTGACAAGCTATGTTAAGTCCGAACAAAGGGCTTTGGGGTGTTTTCTTTTTTAGTTAGAAGTGAGTTGTGGTGCGTCTCACTTTCATCCCGGCAGTCTTCGAAGAGCATGCTAGCAGGCCAGCAGTGAGTGATCAGCCCTGACAGACAGTGGGCGGATGAGGCACGTTTGAAATCCGCCATACCCTGAATACTTCCTGGGCACTGCTATGCCTAACCTAGGTTCAGGTATTTTTCAGGGTGTATTTCTTGTCCAGCAGTGGTTTCCTGGTTGAATGTCTGTGCCATCACTGCTGATTGTCGGCATTCTCTTTTGTTCATACCCCACTGGCACAAATGTAGGCTCTCAAAGGCTGTGGTGAGTGAGGTCTCACCATCCTTGCGCGTTGCTAATTTTTAAGTGACTGGTAGAGATAAAGACTAGAGCAGGGGCTCGCAGGGTGGTGCCCATGGGTGCCGTGGCACCTGGTGACACCTTTCTTGGTGCCAGTCAAGTATTTTTAGAAGGTGTATGTGGTAGGGATGCCAGTCTCCAGGTGGGACCTGGGGATCCCCGGAAATTACAGCTCATCAACAGGCTACAGAGAACAGTTCCCCTGGAGAAAATAGATACTTTGGAGGGTGGACTCTGTGGCGTTGTACCCCACTGGGGTCCCTGTCTTCCCCAGGCTCCACCCCCAAATGTGGGAGAACTGGGTTTGATTCCCCACTCCTCCACTTGCAGCTGCTGGATGACCTTGGGCAAGCCATAGTTCTGACAAGAGCTGTTCTTGAAAAAGAGCAGTTTCTGTCAGAGCTCTCTCAGCCCCACCTCCCTCACAGGGTGTCTGTTGTGGGGAGGGAAAGGGAAAGGAGTTTGTCAGCCGCTCTGAGACACTTTGGGTAGTGAAGGGTGGGGTATCAATCCAATCTCTTCTCTTCTTCTTCTTCCAAGAGTTTCCCAACCTGGATCTGGCAACCCTACCCTCCCATTCCCTCCTGGTGGCCAAGAGGGACCTGGCAAGCCTAGTGCG